AGAAATTAGGAATATAACGTTCTGATCTTACATTTTTTTAATTTTAATATAATTGTTTAAACAAATGTACATTTCTTAAAACGTTCCTGTGCAGTAGTGACTTCGGAGGGGGAAATTTTCATCGATAAGAATATCACATGAATTTTCTTACAATATAACTATATTATCAAAGAAGAATATTGTATTTGTTGATAGTATTGTACCGTCATCGCGTTAAGTTCATACTATCGTCCAATGGTGGTTCCAGTGGTAACAAAAATGATGCTGGGTAGATAAAAAAGGGGACTTGTAAGTTTCTATATATTTCACCATAAAAATGTTGGCATAGAACCGCAACAAAAAAAAAAATGAAAATATTTATTTATTGTTTATACATTATGAACGATTAACTTATTTCTTTTCACTACCTTATATGTTGTTACTTTGGAAATCAACTTTAAATCTATTTCCTGAAATTGTGTGTGTGTGTGTACCAATTTTACTTTTATTTTTTTCCAATTGTGCTTTCGCTTGAATTTGTGGTTGCGTATTTTTATAACATATCTCCCACTCATGACGTCGCCATTTCATAATTATTCAGAGTGTAATAATTATTCTCAACTAATTATCAATAAATAAAAAATATTTGATAAAATAAAGTTGAGCACATAGTGTGCAATTAAAACCACTTATTCATTTTTATCTGCTGTTAAAAGGGTCCTTGCCAGCATTCCTACGGTTTGTAACTCAGGCTAACACTAGAGAATATTAATCTACATTACCTACCAAACTTTTATTTTGCTCGTTTAGTTCATATTTTGTCTACATTTGTTGATAAAATCGCACACATTTCAAGTAAAAGGTTATGACAGCCTTTATTGGTTATTATAAAATTATTAATATAATTCTTATATATTACTATTATTATAAAAAAATAATAACTTCTATCAAATCAATATAATTATTACAAAATGAAATGATAATTTAAATTCCTTTTATTTTATTATTTATTCTAATATAATTGATTTATTGTGTGCTTTGATTGTTAGAAAAATTGAAGTAATTACTATTAACAAGATATTCCTTTTTTCAGACACTTAAAAAGTTTCGATGCATTTCTAAACTATAAAGTATTTAGAAATAACAAAATGTTTGTCTATCTGAGCAAAAAGATAGCAATACCAAATAATTTCCGTTTGAATTGTATAGCATGGAATCAAAAAGAAGGATATATTGCAGTAGGTGGAGAGGATGGTCTTTTAAAAGTACTGCGAGTAGAATCTGTGATGGGTATTAATAACATGAATGGAAAGTCGCGTAATTTGACTGCTGCTAGTAATCTGAGTATGAATCAAACTTTGGAAGGTCACAATGGTCATGTACAAGTAGTTACCTGGAACGAAGAACATCAAAAGCTTACGTCAAGTGATCAGAACGGTGTCATCATTGTTTGGATGATGTATAAAGGTTCTTGGTATGAGGAAATGATTAATAATCGTAACAAATCTGTTGTTAAAAGTATGTCGTGGAGTCAAGATGGTCAAAAGATTTGTATTGTATACGAGGATGGTGCTGTTATTGTTGGTTCTGTTGATGGTAACAGAATTTGGGGAAAGGAATTGAAAAATGTTTCTTTATGCAGCGTACAGTGGTCACCTGATGGGAAATTACTTTTATTTGGATTAAAGAATGGTGAACTTCACTTGTATGACAATCAAGGGATATTTTTAACTAAGTTAAATATGATACAACAAATACCTGGCCAATTACAAACAATAGTTACATTGCAGTGGTATAATGGGAGAAATGGATATATCGCGATGGATTGTCCTACTTTAGCTATTTGTTATCAAAGCGGTAAAATATTATTAATAAAAGATACCAATGATGACAACCCAGTTGTCATAGAAACTGGTATGACCACTGCGTGGTGTTGTTGGAATTGTCATGGTTCTATATTAGCTGTAACTGGTATGATGCCATTTTTAACTAATGGAGAAACAAAGGATGTTAATGCTATACAATTTTATACTCAATTTGGAGAACACATAAGAACTTTAAAAATACCTGGTAGAGAAGTAACAGCTTGCGCATGGGAGGGTGGTTCATTGAGAGTTGCTTTGTCTGTTGATTCTCATATATATTTTGCTAATATACGTCCAGATTATAAGTGGACTTATTTCAGTAATACCGTTGTATTTACTAATGAAAAAATTAGTAAAGATGGCATATGTATTACATTCTGGAATACTAGTAATAATACATGCTGCACTAAATTTGTACGTACTCTAATTTCTATAGCTTCCTGCGAAGAACATTGTGTTCTAGCAGTGAAGAACGATCTAATGCAAGGATCGGAACAATTTGCATTATTAGTTTGTAATACCATAGCCACGCCAATAGATACTAAATTTTTAGATATGGAACCTTTGTATGTGACTATTACTAGTAACATTGTTATTGCTGCATCTAAAAATAATTTTATACTTTGGACTTTTCGAACGCCACGTAATTCGGCATTACTTGCCGGAAAATTACGTAAAGAAAAAATTTATCACGTTGATGATACTCCAACCGGAGTAACAGAAGTTATACAGGATTTGGATAGAGATAGATCTTTTGAATCGCCTACGAGCACCAAGCCTACGATGGACCCAATTTCATGCATTTGTGCAACTGAGAAACTTTTCCTTATTGGAAGAGAATCTGGAATGATACAACGTTATTCTTTACCACAAGTTACTCTTATGAATCGATATAATGCATCTTGCAAACTTTATAAAATGGCTATAAATTGTGATTCAACTCGTATTTCCATTATGGACACGTCTGGAGTTCTTACTATGTTAGATTTAGATATACATAAAGGTACTGATTCTATGAATACGAAGACAGGAGATGATGTAAGCAAATTTGAAAGGAAAGATGTATGGGGAATGTGTTGGGCTCAAGACAATCCTCTGTTACTTGCAATTATGGAGAAAACAAGAATGTATGTTTTAAGAGGATTAGATCCAGAAGAACCTATATCGTGTTATGGATATATTTGTTTCTTTCAAGATTTAGAAATACGATGTGTTTTATTGGATGATCTAATCGAAAAACCAGATGAAATAAAAAATGATTTAATAATAGATTTGGAAGTAAAATCATTAAGAGATACGAGAGAACTTTTAGCAAAAGTTGGATTGAAAGAAGCTAATAATTTTATTCAAGATAATCCGCATCCTCGATTATGGAGATTATTGGCCGAGTCAGCGTTAAAGGTATTAGATTTAGAGACTGCTGAAAATGCAATGGTTCGTTGTACGGATTACTTGGGTATACAATTTATTAAACGTTTAAGAAATGTTCATAATGATCAGTTGAAAAAGGCAGAAGTTGCTGCATTTCTTGGAAATTATGACGAAGCTGAGAAATTGTATTTGGATATGGATAGAAGAGATCTTGCTATAACGTTGCGTCAAAAATTGGGTGATTATTTTCGAGTAGTCCAATTGATGAAAATGGGGATCGGTGGATCTGACAAGCAAATGGAGCATGCATTCAATAAGATAGGAGATTCTTTTGCTGAAAGACAAAATTGGGAAGGTGCTAGAGAGTATTATGAGAAGGGACGTAATTTAGAGAAACTTATTCAATGTTATTACAAACTGGAAGATTTTATACAGCTGGCAGGAACAGTAGATCAATTACCCGATAAAAGTCCAATTTTAAAAACTGTTGCAAAAATGTTGTCTTCGGTAGGTATGTGTTCGCAGGCAGTTACAGCTTATATCAAATATGGTGATGTTAAATTAGCAGTAGATACATGCGTACGCCTTAACCATTGGGACCAAGCTATAGATTTAGCCAAAACTTACAAAATGGCACAAATTGGTGAATTATTGAACAAATATGCTAATCATCTTTTAACTAATGGTAAGAGATTGCAAGCTATTGAATTATATAAGAAAGCTAATTATTATTTGGAAGCTGCTAAATTGTTGATACAACTTGCGGAAGAGCAAGCTAAGTTCAGAACGAATCCATTGAGAGTTAAAAAAATATATGTTCTTGCTGCGTTATTGATAGAGGATCATATTAACAGCATACCAACGATAAAAGGAGGGCGTAGCAATGTCGTGATGGGTTTAATGGAAAGCAACGAAGATACAAAAATAATAGAAAATGCTTGGCGTGGTGCTGAGGCATATCATTTTCTTTTATTAGCTCATAGACAAATCTACGATTGTAATTTCGATGCCTCGATGAAAACTGCTTTGAGACTTAGAGAATACGAAGATATTTTAGAATTAGAAGATATTTATTGTCTACTTGCATTATCAAGCGCAGTTAATCATGCTTTCGCTACGTGTTCTAAAGCATTTATTAAACTGGAAGCTTTCGAAACTATTCCAGAGTCAAAAAGAGAAGAGTATGAAGAATTGGCCGTAAATATTTTTACTAAACATAATCCTAAGGACACGCGTAATGTAAAAGCTGAATGCGTCAATTGCGAAACTTTAATACCCGATTGGTGCGTTATATGTCCAAATTGTATGACCAGATTTCCGGCTTGTATAGTGTCTGGTAAACCTTTGATGGATCTCAGTAATGCTTGGACTTGTACCGTTTGTAGACATCATGTAGCTACTGAACGTGATGTCGTTAATATTAATGCTTGTCCATTGTGTCATAGTACGATCACGTATATGTAGAATTAATTATTCTATTATATTCTTATATAATCATTGTTATCTGTATTCCGTCCAACGTTATAGTACAAAACTATAATAATAATAAGTAGTTTAGTTTCTTTATCACGAGTGCACAGTTACAATATTCTACCAATAAACGAGCACTCGTTTGATCTCAAATATTAGACTGTATTTTATATTTCTTATATACAAGAAATAATATTATTATAATGAATAACAAAATCCGTCCATGCAACTGATGTTAAATATTAATTATTCACAAAAAAATACAAAAGTTATAATTGTTATTTAGAAATGTGAATATACACGCTTAAAATATGAAACAAATAAAGTTTGCTCCTAATATTTTTCTTTCTTCATATTTTAAATTAATGAAATTTAGATGAATTAGCTTTTAATTTTATGAATTAAAATTTATACGAATTATTAATTTAAAATGTATAAAACGATATAAGATAGAAAGATAGATAATGAATTAAAAATAGAATTATCGATAAAATTTTGCGCGCGTAAAACGAGGATATTGCAAGCAATTCAAACATAAATTTTTCTCAATAAGTGGGTTGCGCGCGCAGGTTGCACATGCGCGTGATCATTGGCACACGCTTCCAAGCACGAGTCGTAACAGTGCGTTTCGGGCGTTCAACGGAGGAAGTGGATTTGTGTTGTTTCTCTCCGTTGCATCGCGTTTCTCTTCATCCTCGCGGTTTATATTAAACTTTCTTCGAGGATCTTTACTTTATTTCTTTCCTGGTTTTTTTTTTATTTTTTCTATATCTCTCCGTCTATTTTTAATCTTCATAATTCATCATTTTTGTGAATATATAATAAAAGGTGCTTATGTGAGTTAACTGTATCAAACTGTTATTGGTTTCTCTTGTGAGGTTTTTTTTGTAAATGAATTAATCGTCCTTGTGAAGAAGATAAAAAAGAAGAAGAAGAAGAAGAAAAATATAAAAAAGAAATCAAAATGAGTGGTAGAACGACAAAGATGGTTCTATTAATTGCTTTGATCGTCCTTTATACTCTTTTGACGACTACGTTCGTCAACGGCGCCGGCTTGAAATGTGACGCTGTCAGGCCGGATTTCGAAGCGCAGGGCTTTCCACTAAGTGACATACCAAAGGAACCAATTTCATGTGAGCTTATTTATTTATTCTTTTTCACTCTTTTATTTTTTATTCAATAATGCAACAATTCGATTGGAATAGTGGTTAAATGTACGTTAACAACCGCGGGAATATATAATGCAGCATTAAATTTTATTATTAATCAACAATTTTATCCAAGCTCTTATTTAAGTGATGATTCGGAAGTGAGAGAGAGAGGGGGTTAAAAGGATTAGGGATTTGATGATGTACTTACGTTGATCGTAATGGTGCTAATACATATTAACAAACGTAGGGATAATTGGATAATATAATTTACTGTGTAATGGTCACTTTATCGATCGAGTTTGACATTGATTCGAATTATCCAATATAATAACGTTTAACAACTTCCGAGGATAAAATTTGTAGAAACAGATTAGAAATATTTTGTTGAATATTATTTAATTGTTTGTTATTTTTTTTTTTTAAATGAAATTTTATTAATCAATATGTATTCGAAAATCATGATTATTTTTTCGAGATAATGCAGATTTTATATGTTTTATAATAATTAATTATTCAATCTTAAATCTAGGAACTTTTTATTAAATTGTACTTGCAGCGCATAACCATAAAATTCGAATTTAATTTAAAACGTTCGAAGGATTATTTATTGAGATCATAATTAATTACATAGTTTATGGAAAAGATCGTGAATAAAATAGGATTTAGTATGAAAATGACGTTTTCCAGTTTTTAACGAGAAATTTGGGAGAAAGAGGAGAGTGCGAGTGAGAGGAAAGAAGTAAAGTTCTCTCGTATAATATGATCGTCCTTGTAACTAGTCCTGCTGGATCGTTCGTGTAGATCATAAATTATCCACTGTACTGTGTATGAGTATATCCTAAAATAGTTTTGCACAGCTGCGACCGTTGCGGTTGATAATTTTTAGAGCCTAAGTTCGAAGGGCGATATTTTCTTTTCTTTATTATTATTATTATTTTTATTAAAAACGTATTCGCAAGTTCGATAAGAAAATATAAAGAATTATTAAATTTTAAACGAATTGTTTTTTTTTTTTAACAACGTCCTTTAAAAATAAAAATAAAATTGATTTTCTTTTCTTTTCTTTTTAATTTTTTCCTGTTTTTTTTTTTTTTTTACTTATAATTTATTATACTGCATGTTTAAAAAGTTAAACATATAACATCAAAATAAGTACAACATTTTGTAAACAGTATAAATATATATATATATATTAATT